CCACATCTGTGATGATTCTAAACACTCTGACACAAACCCCTATGTGAACCGAATCTGCCCAGCAGACACATCTTATGCACAATGTCCAGACCGTGCTGGGGTGGATTACAGACCTGCCTGGGAGAAGCAGCAGAGCACCATGGCCAGGCTCCTCCATGGCATCCAGGCACTCGGAGGGCATGGCTGAGCCGCCCGCACTATCCATGTCCCCTTCAGGCTGTAGCTCAGGATGCACCACGGTGCTTGTGTCCTCATCGGTGAAGGTCTCACACTCACTGTAGGTGCTCTCAGAGCCCATGTATGCGCTGTCTGTTACCTCATTGGCCTAAAAGAGAGAGCCAAGAGTCAGTCCGGGCACCTGGAAATAACAATGTCCATGTGCGGCACTCAGTGCAAAAAAACCCAACGCCCAACATAACACACTGCTGCTGTGAAGTAGAAATATCACATGGAGGGGGGAGCTCTCACACATGAAAAAGTCCCTACTATATTTCTAAGCAAAAACATTAGCTTACAAAACAATTTAATACTGTTTTAAAATGAAATATAGGCAGTATGTCCAAGTAAAGAAGACTATTGGAGTAATTTTTTAAATACATTTTTATTTATTTTAGAGAGAGGAAGGGAAAGGGAGAGAAACATCGATGTGAGAAACATTGATTGCCTCCCACATGCCCCCATCTGGGGATCAAGCCTGAAACCCAGGCATGTGTCCTTACCAGAAATGAACTGGCAGCCTTTTGGTGTATGGGACGACGCTCAAGCAACTGAGCGTATGCATACTGGCCAAGGCTGGAGTAATTTTTAGAGTTAGTTAGTAATTATACTTAAAAAAGATATAAAGCATCTCAACACATGGTATATCCCAGAACAATCACCCATTTTATCGCTTCCAGCATTAGTATTATTTATATCTAAGAATTAGCATTCATAGTGTAAGAATATGCCTTTTAATTTAAAAAGTCACCATGAAGCCCAGGCTGCTGTGGCTCGGTTGGACGTTGTCCTATGCAACAGAAGGTTGCTGGTTCGATTCCAGGTTGGGGTCATGCTCTCACATCGATGATTCTCTCTAACAATCAAGAAACTATTCTTTAAAAATACACACACACCCATCTTTTTTTTTATTGATTTGAGAGAGGAAGGGAGAGATTGAAATATCAATGATGAGAAAGAATCATCGATCAGCTGCCTCCCAAAGCCCCATACTGGGGACTGAGCCTGCAACCTGGGCATGTGCCCCGACCTGGAATTGAACCATGACCTCCTGGTTCATAGTTCGACGCTCAACCACTAAGTCACGCCACCCAGGCACTAAACTATTCTTTAAAAAAAAAATGTTTTTAAAAGAAAAGTCACCATGAAGCCCTGGCCAGGGTGGCTCAGTTAGCTGGGCGTCATTTGGTGCACTAAAGGGTTGCTGGTTCAATTCCCGGTCACACCCAGGTTGCAGGTTCAATCCCTGATCGGGGTGCGTATGAGAGGCCACCAACAGATGTGTTCTCTCTCCTTCTCCCTAAAAAAATCAATAAAAACATATCCTCAGGTGAGGATTTAAAGAAAAGAAAAAATTCAAAAAGGTATCATGAATACCTATTATGTCTGTTCAGGCTATGGCAATGAAATTCAATTACGTGCTCTAACTTCAAAATACTAATTAATCAAATTTTTAACCAATTAATTATGTTCACTGGTTAAATGTATACTTTCCCACTAAACATATCTTTATTTTTACCCATGTGGACTCAGCACCTAGCACAGGTCTGGCACACAGCAGGCAGGAAGTATCTGTGGACTGTACAAATTAACTTAAAACTAAAGAACTGTGAAACGCCATTTTCAGTTTATAATCTCAGCTCTAATTAAAACACAATTGCAATGGTTAAGAAATGTAGCCAACATGTCATGCTTACAAGATCCCAAGTTTAACAATTTGAGAAAGTAGCTGGGGAGAAGTGCACTTTGTACTCGGGTTCAGGTATCACGGTTGGTGGACAGTCTGCTCAGATGTGCTAGGATAACAAAAAGTCACAGTCCTTGGCTACGTTTGGGGGCAACTAGAGCCTCACAATGCTGCACCCCCGAGGCTCCTTGCCCCATGGAAGAGGGGCAAAGGACCGTGGTCGAGCCAGTAGGAGCCTGGTGTGGCTCACGAGAGGCCCAGGTCCGTCCTCAGTCTGCTGTCTACCAGCCATTTAGCACGGAATGGGGGCTCAACTACTCTGAGCCTGTCGTCTCATTTGTAAAAGGGGGGGTTGTAAATGCTGATCTCAACAGGTTGCAACCATACGGGATCAAGAGAGACCACAAAGATAGGTCCCGAAACAGAAAATGAAAGACTAGAGTTCATGTGTTACTGGTGGGTGGAATCCCTGCCAGCTGCTTGTAAGGCCAGAATAAAATAGGGAATGACATGAGATGTACCTACTGAGATGTTCAGTGATGTTACTTATGTTTTTAACAGAAAACCCAATCTTCCTTGGAATCTATGGCAACTAAGTTCACTTCAAAATCTGAAACCAGGAAATCACTTCAAGAGGCTCTTGTCCTACTCATCATCCCTGAGCAGGCTGGCTCTGTGCTTGTTCTGCAGGTAGCATAGGCAGAGACGAGTTACCTGAGCTGGGAAGGAGATGCCACTATGTTAGGGAGTAGCTAGAAGGGGGAACACAACCAAGAAGGCACAAAATCCAGTCAATTCCTGATGTCCTGAGGTATGGCTGCCAATTGGCTACCCAGTGGCACTGCTCACTTGCATGGGATGCTACCCAAGAACCACCCAAGGGCACCAGGAAGATCCCCACACCACACTTCCAGTGATGACGGCAAAGACCAGTCAGCTATTCAGTCTTCAGCTGAAAACTCCTACAAGAGCACTGCTCCTTACCTGCAGGACAATCCCATGGACCTCCCCCACCTCAACCTCAGTCCTTCGACTGAGGAAGCAGGCAGGGCCCACACGCCCTAATCCTCACTCCACAGGGCTATTGAGGCCCCCCCCCAAATACCCCTGTAATAGTTTCCTGTGGAAAACAGAATTTGACTCTTAAAAATTTTTTTAATGTATTTTGATTGGTTTTAGAGAAAGAGAAAGGAAGAGGGAGAGAAAAAAACATCAATTTTTTGTTCCACTGATGAATTTGGGAGTGAGGGAGGGACATTAATTTGTTGTTTCACTTATTTATGCATTCACTGGTTGATTCTTGTATGTGCCCTGACTAGGGATTGAGCCCACTACTTCGGTGCATCAGGATGATGCTCTAACCAATAACTGAGCTACCCAGTCAGGGCCAGACCTTGACTGTTAAGGTCAGCTTTTAAAAAGCTAACCATGCCCTGGCTGGTGTTCTCAGTGGTTAGAGCATCAGCCTGCACACTGAAGGGCCGTGGGTTCGATTCCAGGTCATGGGCATGTAACTGGGTTGCAGGTTCAATCCCCAGCCCCGATTGGGGAGCATATGGGAGGCAACCAATCGATCTCTCCCTCCCTCCCTGTCCCCCTCCTTCTTGCCCTCCCTTCCACTCTTTCTAAAAATCAACGGAAAATATATCCTCAGGTAAGGATTGAAAAAAAAAAAAGGCCAACCAACCAGCACTTCTAATAGATGCATGATGCTCTTCTCTGGGCTGCATGGACCCTCGATAGCAGCTCAGCATCTATAAGAGCAAATCAACTCAGCACCCAACATTTCTCTCCAGGAAAGAAGGTCCAGGCACTTGGGCCTGTTTATTTCACCCGTGCAGTTGAGACCGGGGCTGCAGCTGAAACCCCCTTGGAGTTTGGCCAGAATGGAAATAGTTCTCCACTGACACAGAAACAATGAGGCAGAAGCTATAAAACTCGACTGTTTCAAACCAGGCACTTACACACTCCATTCTGGGTATCTCCCCACCTTTTAAACAGATAGAGGGCAAACACTCTCCCACCTTCACCCTCCTTTCTAAAGCAAACCCGTTCCCCTGCACCAAATGAGTCCCCCTGCACCAAATGAGTCGTACGCTGATGAAAACTGTTCACCACTTCACAAAAGGCTTTGTGTTTGCACTTACACCTTAATTTGCCCAAAATTATAAATAAATAGGATGGTGAAGGTCCTGTCCCCACAGCACAGCTATAAACATGCAGAAATCCTGGCGAGGGTATTGGTAAACAGCCTCTTATCTGGAGCTCCCTACACAGACCAAAGCCACGACAGCAGCCCAAAGGGGAGAAGAGACTGGTCGGCTCCATGAGCACCTAGGACAAAACCCAGGGAGGGTCAAGCAGCCAAAAGAGGGACAACTCGTTTCCCAGGTGCTGCCCCACCTTGCAGCCCCTGAGGGTCAGTTTCTATTGGTCAAAGCTGCCTCGGATAAATGTCGGCCAGCAGGTAGTTTTCCAGGGCAGCTGGGTAAACACCTACTTTTCACGAGAGACGAAAGTCATCTTAGATCGTGGTGCATGCTCACCCACAGTCTACTAGACAAAACATAAGAGCAGCTCACAGACATGCCCCATCCATTCATTATTTGCCACTAGACAGGACCTAGCTTTGCCCAGAAGCCCACAAGTCTATGCCACCAACTATAAAAATGTTTACAAATTACACATGTTAAGATGAACTCTTGTGCATCTTAGAAAACTTTACATGTTAATGGTACTTTCACCAGTTAACAAACAATCTGCCAACAGGCAATAAGGAAGGCTGCATACAGAGCCACTAGTAAGGAACTCATGTGTGGCCAACCCTGCCTGGGGTCCCCACTGTCCAGGTTGTGGTCCCTCAGAGGAGAACTAACTGCTGGGCATGGTGTGAGCCTGTGTCCCACCACAACACAGCCTCCTCTTACCCTCAGATGCGAGCCCGCACCAGCTCCAGCCGGCACGCTCTTGGAGACAGCTTCCCCATCGTATCAGAAGCGCGAGGGCCTTCCGTCCAGACTCTCAACAGACAAGTTGTGCTGGGATTTCTGCCAAACCTGTGTGTTCACCTGAAGGTACATCACTGCCAGGGAAAAAGTTTAACCTGCTCCCAGACATGCTCTGTTAAACCTGCTGTGCCAGTGGTGGGTGTGGGGGTGTGGAGGTAGGGGCAAAGTTCAGGAAGTGCCTTTGCTGGGTTCTTAACAGTCATATCTCAAAACAGAATGGCTTTTGTTTTTGACTCTCTAACCTTTCAGATACAGTTTGTACAAAAGCCACATTTCCCTGTTATATTTTATTAAGGCAGCTCTTTTCTCTAGCTGCTGATAGTGGGAGAGGGAGGAACAGAGGAGGTACAGCAGGGACAATTCTTATCAGTTCTGTTTGTGCCTGTTCCGTGACTTTCCCATCCCCTTCCAGAAATCCTGGCACACGAGATCACCCATGTAGGCCTCCAGCACTCCATCCTCTACCTCACTCAGATTCTCAGACGAGGAGCTTTCCTCTCATTCCCTGAACGTCAGTGATAACCCTAAGTCACTTCCTCACTTCTTCCCTTCTCAGACATGCCACATCAGTGACTTTCTCCTAGGAATTATGTTACAAGCGACAAGCCAAAGGGATGCTCAGGGAAATGCTGGGAGCTACGGAACCCACTGAACAGCCCTGGCAGGAAAAGGACCAGAAGCAGCAGCCCATCAATAGTTCTCTGCAGCCGAAACCGGTTTGGCTCAGTGGATAGAGCGTCGGCCTGCGGACTGAAAGGTCCCAGGTTCGATTCCGGTCAGGGGCATGTATCTGGGTTGCGGGCACATCCCCGGTGGGAGATGTGCAGGAGGCAGCTGATTGATGTTTCTCTCTCATCGATGTTTCTGACTCTCTATCTCTCTCCCTTCCTGTCTGTAAAAAATCAATAAAATATATTTAAAAAAAAAAATAGTTCTGTGCACAGGGTCCCCTGACCAACACTGTCGTGTGCCCAGCCAGAAAAATCAATAAAAGGCCTGTCTCTGAAGATCTCCAGCAGAGGCTCTCCAAATGTGGTATTTGGATGTAATGCACATATTCTCCACTCCTATTTTTATTGGACTTTTAAAGACTATATAATGTACATTTTTTAAAAAAGAGAGCAATCTTTCTGTAAGTTTCACAGTACTAGTTTCACTCCCCTAAAAATGACATCTAAAAACCTTAAAAAGTATAAAAAGACATGGAGGAATCTTAAATGCATATTATTAAGCAAAAGTAGCCAGTCAGTAAAGACCATACACTGTAGGATTCCAACTATGTGATTATGTGACATCCTGGAAAGGCGAAACCATGGGGACAAATAAAAGATCAGTGTGCTGGGTGCTAGTGGGTGGGTGGGGGAGTGACTCATGGGATCACAGAGGACTGTTAGGGCAGTGACACTACTCTGTATGATACTATACGGTGGATACAGGACATTGTACATTTGTCAAAACCACAGACTGTACACCACAACAGTGACCCTCATGTAAACTATGAACTTTAGTTAATAATAATGCATCAATATTGGTTCATCAGTTTTAACAAATGTACCCACTAAGGCAAGATGTTCATGAGGGAGAAAACTGTGTTGGTGTGTGTACAGGGGCGAGGGGGAGTGATAGGAACTCTTTGCCTATCAGCTCCATTTTCAGTAAACTTAAAACTGCTAAAACATAAAGTGTATTAATTTTAAGTAACAAAAAAACTTTAAAAAAATTTCCTCCATTCTAAAAAAATTAGGATTTAAAAACCTGAGACGCATTCCTTTGGCATACTCTTTGAAAAGCCTGGTTCCCACCATGCCATCCAAATGCAAGAGGTGGGAGTTGGCACACCCCCAGGACGGAGGCAACCACAGAGGCGGGAGGGCCACAGTCATGTGGGCTGAGAGGGCGATTCACCCACTCAGAGGACAAAACGGGGTCATGGTCAAACAGCACCCCTACCTGCTCTACCTAGGTTTCGGGGGAGGCAGCCCCACTGCAGTGACTCACTCTTTTGGACCAAACAAGAACTTTAAGTACAAAATGTGTTGATGCCTTTTACTATCCTGAGTAATCAAACACTGTATTAGTTTTCTAGGCCTGCTGTATCAAATTACCATAGACTGGGTGCTTAAAACAATAGGAGTGTGTTCTGACAGTTCTGGAGACCGGAAGACTGAAATCAAAGTGTCAGCAGGGTTGAGTTCTCCCTTCCTGCCCCTTCCAGCTTCTGTAGGCTCCTGGCGGTCCTTGAGCCTGTGGCTGCATCACTCCAGCCTCTGCCTCCATCTTCACATTGCCTTCTCCCCACTGTGTCATCTCCCTTTCTCTTCTAAGGACACGCTATTCAGCATGATCTATCTGATCCTGAGGTCCTTAACTCAATTACATCTGAAAAGGCCCTTCCCTTTGGAGAAAGAGGGTCACATTCACAGGTTCTGGGTGGAAAAATGGCAGCAGAGTAAGTGGATGCTGCACGGACATGCTCCCAGGAACAAACTGGTATTCAACTAAAATACAGAAGAACTTCCTGAACAATCAATGGAAAACTCGCCAGAGAGAACCCTGATACCCGAGGACTGAAAGTGGAGACTGCATAGAGACTGGTAGGAGAGGCAGAGGCACAGGTTCTGGGTGGATGTATCTTTGAGGGACCACCATTCAATTCACTACACATAAAATATTTTAAAAAACTGATGTAATGTCCTAGCAGAAATATGAGAGAGGAATAAAACAAGAACACTGATGATAAAGTGTATACTCTTGAGACATGATTAAGGATTCAGTGCTGACGACATAAGTAACAGGATCCTGCCATACTGCTGGGAAGGCAATTCTCCAGATGCTCCAAACAACAAAGGCTCTCCCCTGGTCTAGCTGCATTCCTGAAAAATTCAAGATGTGTCAAACCTCACAGAACCTTCCTACTCAGGCCTTGTAAGCAGCCTCTTCAGTCACAGGGGCTGGCAGTTCATCTGAAAGCTGACACATCAGAGCCATGCACACCCGGGGTCCCCCGCCTGGCCACACTGTGCCTTGCAATCAGTACAAGTCCCATCTGGGTACTGGCCTCCACATGCCAGACTGGGCCTGGCACTGCCCAGTCGCACCCAGAATGCACACAGGGGACAAAAAGCGGTGGCTCCTGCCCTTGCGGGGGCTCAGGCTCAGCTGGTACTCTGGGACAAAGCTGTGAAGGATGAACAGGCCCAGGTGGCCTGGGGGGAAGGGGGGTCTGTGCTGGCAGAAACGATAGTCAGGAAGTGAGCCTGCATTTATCTGAGGGGTCACCAATACCTGGGCAGCTCCTCACAGGAGGGGCATGAGACAGAGAAGGAAAGCAGTGGAATTCTGAGGTGAGTTAATATTCAGAGGGAATTTCAGAATCTATTCTGTGCAACCCCCTCATTTCACAAAGGAGCCGAGGTTCAGAGGACTGATGTGCAGGGCTTCAGGCCCAGTGGGTCACAGCCTAACCCTGCTCCCCTCACTGGGCAACAGAGGCTGAGGGGCTAGCAGTGGCCACCACGGCCTTCCCCAATAGCTCTTAGAGAACTCAGGAGTTTCCAGTGTATTAAAAAAAATTCTAGACTCAGCCACCTGGACTCTCCCAGCATCTGCCCCAGCCCACCTCTCCAACTAGTGGGACACAGTGATAGTGGTCTGTCTCACAGACCTTCCCCAAACCTTGGAAAAATCACCCTCAATTACCAGCAACACCATGTAACCATAGCAACGCTGGCTTCTTCTGGGGGTAGGGGGCAGAGTAAAGCAAGGCATTAATCAAAGGTCTCTAATAGACCCAGAAAATGGTTTGAAATGTGATAAAATAAAAACCTCAAAATGAGTCCCCTGCTCTGGCCTTGCTTGGCAGCCTGACAGAAGGTGACAATCTCACGAGACTCCTAACTGCTCAGCCTGTCACTCTACTAACAACGAACCCAACGGCGTCTCTTGTTAAGGTTCTCAGTTATGTAACACTCAGAGTAGACACCTATCGACTGTGTGCTGGAGCCAGGAGTCCCCCAAAGCCCACCAACCACAGTGCCCCCAGTGTACACAGGGCTGCAGAGTGAGTCCTTCCCTGCCCTTGCAGCCATTTCCTATATAAACAGCCAGGGAACCACTAAGTGAAGCAGGACTTAAGATTGAACAGAGGAGTAGGCGTAACATCAAGTTCCCTCTCAGCTCTCTTGTGAAAACCACTTGCCTCAAAGGTAACAAAGTCCTCGAACTCATCAGGGCAGGCCTGCGGCTCCTCGTCCTGGGCAGGGACAATGCTGCACAGCTGGCCATCAGAATCTGCGGGAGAGAAGACCCAGACTTAGCAGGAAACCCAGACCACCCAGAGAGGGAAGGGGGAAACGATGTGAATGGGCAATGGAGCCTGGACTGGCTATGAGAAACCCGGGGGAAGAAAGGTTAGGGTAGGACAGCAGGTCCCCGACGGAAACAACACTTTGTGCCAGAGTTCTTAGGCAGTGGTGTGGAGGCCAAATGGTAACTACTTCTTAAAAGAGCTGGACAACATTGTAAAAGAGAAAGAGCATGATACTTGCTCTGTGACACCGCTCACGGCTTTAAAAAGTATTAGGTGCAAAAAAAAAAAAGTATTAGATGCCAGATTTAATTTTTTTTAAATTGTACATGTTTGGGGAGGAGTGAGTATAATGAAATATTAGCAAAATAACACCTTGTCCTCAGTGCTGGACTCACGGTCAGGTTTTATTTTCTTCTTTTTTTGCTTAACGTTATCTTCTCCAATATATGTTTTATTTTATAACTAGAGGCCTGGTGCACGGATTCATGGACATTGAAAGGAAATTAATTAGAAGGTGGCCAGTGGGATGGGACTGGGCAAGATGGGCCGGACACGCCCTGGAGTCAACCTCCCGCAGTCCTTCCCTGGCCGGCCGCACCTGGGGAGGCATCTGCGAAGTGAGCGGGATCCCTCCAGCAGGTGGGGTCCCTTGGCTTGGCCTGGGGGTATTGGGCTGAAAACAGCAGTCCAACATCCCCTGAGGGGTCCCAGAGTGCAAGAGGGCACTCTGCAAAGTTGCTGTTGCTCGGCAGGTCCTGCGCTGAGTGTCTGCCCCCTGGTGGTCAGTGTGTGTCACAGCTACCAGCCTGAGGGCTGGTCATTTAGGCTTTTATAAATATAGATAAGAAAAAGTTAAAAAGAAAAGCAATCTTTTCATGATGGACAGGCTATAATTCTGACGTCAGCAATAGAAACATCACTTTTCAAACACAACCAATTCCCACAAAGAAAAGGTACTGGCTTCCACTGTCTCCTGACCATGTTCAGGCCTAACACTTTCCAAAGAGCGTGCAAGTTATGGAATTATGTTTCTTGATGTTGCCTCACTACAGTATACTGTCATATCGTAATAAATATTTATTTGATTTTTATCCTCAGTCCTGACACAGAGCTCCTAAAACTCTGGGAACTTCCTTGTGATGGGATGCAAAGAGCATCCGTTGTTACTCATTAAGAAGCCCCTTTCTGCCTTACCTGGGTTTAAACTAATGAGGTGACTCTTGGAGGATGGAGGTTGGTTAGGGAACCGACCTTGTGGTTAGAGGGCTAGAACTTTCAGTTCCAACCCGACTTCTCAAAATGAGGGGGTTCAGAGAGCTGGGTTAGTGAACACATCATATGGGGAAAATAGCACATCCCAAACTCCACAGGGACAGAAGCCCCTACATTGTGGACCCTCCAAACCCACCCTATATACCTCTTCATCTGGCTGTTCATTGTAACCTTTATAATAAACTGGTGACAGAACTAAAGTGTTTCCCTGGGTTCTATGAGCCATTATAGCACGTTATCAAACCTGAGGAAGGAGCTGTGTCAAACAGAAGTGTGGGTAACCTGGGCACCTGTGGGGTCTGCGCTAACTCTGGGCAGTTGACGTCAGAACGAATTAAATTGTAGGCCACCTAGGTGGGGTCTGCAGAGAATTAGAGAATTGCTTGGTGAGGAAAACCCACACATTGGATGTCAAAGTGTGAGCAGAAAACAGATCACAATAGTACCTATTTAAAATGTATCAGTTACTTATTCAATATATCTCACATAATCTAACATAACATCAGTCACTTATTTAGAAAGTGGAGTAGAGTCTTTGAAGGTCAAATGGAAGAGCAAACCTCCCTGGACGCTCCTGGGGAGAGTACTTTGAAACGGTCATCACCAGCTTCCTTGGCTAGAGAACATTCTTCTTTGGCAACTGGACCATGTGGGGAAAATGCTGCCCTCCACATCCCCAGCCAGGTTCTGAAGGGCCAGTGGTGTGAAGTCACTGACAGCCAGTATAAGTGTGGAAGGAGAATGAATGTTGAAGGACCCTCACCACAGAGCAATAGCTGGACACATGGCTACTCCGTCCAGTTTCTAAAGAGCTCTCTCAATTTAAACAATGATGCTTTTCCTCAATAATTATGAAAATTCAAGCATTTATGCATTTAGTAATTATGAGATGTCTTTGCCAATTCAATACTGCTTTGCAGTAGTAATTAAGGCCCTTAAACCAAAATCCCTTATGTGGCTGCTGTTTTGTATTGTTTTCCCTGGGAGTGTGACTAAATACCTGAGGGCTCAGACTATGGCGGGATGAAAGAGCCTCAGCGCATGGCAGGCTGACAGCCTTGGAGTCCCCTGCACTGGAGGTTTGGGTCTTTGGTGCATGTGAACTACAGCAAACTATATGTGCCCTTTTTAAAAAAATATATTTTTATTGATTTGAGAGAGGAAGGAAGAGGGAGAGATAGAAACATCAATGATGAGAGAGAATCATTGATTGGCTGCCTCCAGCACATCCCCTACTGGGGACCAAACCCGCAACCTGGGCATGTGCCCTTGACCGGAATCAAACCCAGGACCCTTCAGTCCGCAGGCTGATGCTCTATCCACTGAGCCAAGCCGGCTAGGGCTATATGTGCTCTTTTTGAAGGGGGAGAGGATTGCTGTGGACAGAAGTTTTTGGTTTCTGTGACAGGAAGTAAAGAAGGACCATTATCCCAGTGGTCACACATCTATAATAATAAAAGGGTAATATGCTAATTAGACCGGACATCCTTCTGGGCCTCATTTCAGACGAAGCCGGGGCCGGAGAGAAGAGCCCGGGTCCCGGCAGCCAGGGGAAGGAAGGCCTACTCTTGCACGAATTTTTGTGCATTGGGCCTCAGTATTTTATAAAAGGCCAGACTGTTTGGGACCTATTTTCCCCCTCTTAAATGTTAAGTCTTGCTTGCACTTCCAAAAATTGAAACACAGAGTTTCAAACTCTTAAAACTTAGCGAATCATTTCAGGCATGTGCTCACATTCCAGTGGTGGGCATATGATTTAGGAGTCTTGCCCCACATGGTGAAGAGAAAGATGTGAATATAGCTGATGTTTTTCTATTCTTGATGGGAACTAAATAGGACTCTTCTTTCAGTTTTCTTCTACAAAAACTAAAGCAATTTGCAATTAAGTGGAAATTTTTAATGTGCATTTATCTTATTCTTTCAGAGTCAATTTGGGGGGGAGGGGGAGACGAGCCAGAGCAATGGCCTATTTGTAATAATTCCCTCTCTATCTCATTCTATTCCTGAAATAAGGCCTGTGGTTGTGACAGTAACAATCTCCTTGCGCTTTCCCTGCAAACTGGGTCAATATATCGTGTCACTTGCTATGCCGCTCCTGGATACAGAATAAAAGTCTGTCAGACAAGACAGGCTGTGAGCAGCCATGATGGCACACTGGAGGGAAGACTCAAAGTGCACTGGAGCTGAAATTCAGTTGGCGTAATCATGCTTTCCACTCTTCCAAATGCTATGAAATAACATTTCACAATCATCTTTGACTTGCTTTGATCCTAATTTTATTTTCACTCTCCCTTCCTAACAAAAGTTAAATGATGAAGTCAAATTACAAAAAAAATTTGCAAATTACCAAAAAAGTAAAGCCAAGCCCACAGCTCTGAGCAAGACCGGCAGTAGATCCGATGCACAGGGTGGGTGTTCCCCACGCCCACGCCAGCTACAGTCACCTGGAGGCCCTGCCACTCATGCCCACTCCAAGACATAGACCTGCTCTGCTGGTGTTGAGCCAAGGGGCCTCTCAACAGCCCTTCCACAGGGAGCCTGGGATGGAGTTGAATTGTGAGGCCTCTTGACAAGAAGGTCAAGTCTTCCCACAGTGCCCACAGCCCCGTCATGCCCCCACCTTCTGATCCTGGTTACCCAAACCAGCCACAGTGACCTCCCTTCAGCTCCCAAATGTGCAGGGCACACTCCCTTCATGTCCCCCACCTGGACCCTGCCACCCCTTCCCAGACTTTCTCAGGGAGAATTCGATGGACCACCTCTGGCATCACCCTCCTCCTGAGCTCCTGTTAGCTCTCATAGCTCTACGGCCTCAACGTGTATGGGCTGTCCTCCACAAGAATGCCGGCTCTCAGGCAGGGGACTCTACTTCCCAGAGTCTGGAACAATCCAGCTCAACAGTGTCCACACCCACAGTCCTTCCAAGTCTAAGCTGTGCCCTCCCTTAGCTACTGCCCCTCCATCCAGCCTGATTCAAGCTCTCATCACTAAAACCTCCCTTCAGCCCACCCACTCAAGGACCCTGACCCATCTGCTGGCAGGCCAACCCTATCCAAAGCCTCCGACCTTTCTGCCTCCTCAACCACACACCCCAGCAGCAGACTGTCCCTCATATTCAGAGTCCACTACCTCACTTCAGAAGCAGAGGTCTGTTCTACACAAGCTAAACTCAGGGTGGGGGGGACAGCACCTACAATGCACCTCCCAATATAGTTTCGTGTTGAGACCAAGCCTCAAGCCTCGCCTTTTGGGGATGCTTCTATTCCAGAATGTTCTTGCCATTGGAAAAACACGGCACCATTTCCTGAAGATATTCATAACTCCAGGACTGACTGGGGGGGGTCTTATTTTTAATTAAATCAAAGTGGAAATATTACCAACAAGGATGCAAAAACAGAGACTCAAACAATCCCAGTGGGGTTCAATGGTGTGTGTGGGCTGGACAGAGGCAGGCCTTTCCCTAGGTGAACTGATTTTGTGGGGCTTGGAACAGCAGGAGGCTGCTCCCCAATACAGAAGAAGGTGCAGCTGCAGTTAGCCAGTTGCCTGGGGAATGGGGACAGAGCAGGTGGAACAGGACATGTCAGCCAGGAGGTTAAAACGGGAGCGCAGACTGGAGAGACCTCTGGATGTGACAGAAGAGCCCTGGCCAGCTCCTCTCAGGCAGAGACACAGAAACCCTACCTCGTGCTTCTCTCTGCCAGCCCCTGGGAAGGACAGAGAGTGCCTCAGCTTCAGTGGGGGTATCCCAGGCAAAGGCAAGGAAGAGGGCAGAGGGGTGGGGTGCGCAGGCAGAGGTCCTACCTCAGCGGATCAGGGTGATGGTTAACCATTAAGGAAAGATCAGGACTCAAGGAGACAGGCCATTCTCAGGTGACCATTTTCTCTCACTAGATTGATAAATATCTACACATGCCTTAAGTCACTGAACTTCAAGACACATGCAACCCACGAGACAACCAAGAGGGTCAGCAGCCAGCAACCCGTTCTATCCGACAGATAATCAGCCCCTGCAGAGACAGCTCCTGGCTCTCAGTGGGCAGGTCAACGGCCCAAGAATTTTATTACAGTGGACTGGTTGTGCCTGCCTGGATCAAGTTTTCCGGGAGCATGTGACCCCCCCAGGAACTCCTGCAGCGGAGCCTACTTCATTTCGCACTAACCATGGCCCAAAAGAACAAAGAGCAGCCACCAGCCTGAATTTTGACTAGAGAGAGCCTCAGAGTTTGACCACACAGATGGCCCAGGCTCCATCTCTCACTGACCACTGCCCATACCCATGGGCCAGCTGCCACTGCTGCTCCCAGCATTGCCACTTGAGAGGAATCTGGGCTCCTCAACCACCTGAATCCAAGGAAGCCCAGTCTCAACCCTCAGCTGGAAGGGCAGAGACTACAAGGGGCATGTCCAAGGCCCAGAGCTCCTCCGGGCCCTTTGATTTGTGCCTCAGGGAACACACTGATGCCATCATCCCTGTGCTAAGGTTGTGCGAGTCAGTCCCCACCCCCACCTGCCACACTGACAGCAGCAGCACCTCCCCTGTTGTTCCCTCCCTCGTTTCGTGCTCTGTACGCACAAGGTCCCTGGCTGCTTGTTCACCATGGGTCTCTGGACTGTGCTGGTGTTCATATCTGTGTGGACTAACTAGGTGAAAGAAGTAACAACACACAGGGCTCCATATACAGAATGCTACTCAAAGCCATCTGGGATTTGGTGTTTTAGGAAACCCAGGCCCTATGTGACACTGTCGGGCAATAATTTTGGGGATGTAACAGAGAAGACAGGTGAGACTCTATCTACAACTGCTAATAAGACCTCGGGTTCAAAGGTACCCCGCCTTGACTGGACCACCATGATGACCTTGGGCTCTGCCGAGTCTCTTTATGCCCCTCTTCCTCTGACAAGGTGCAAGAAGGAGGGAGACAGCCTGTGACTGGTGACTTCCCAACACTGCACTCCTGACACCACCTGGCCAAAGATGGGGAATGAGAAGGAAAGGTCTACTCAGAGCTTCAGAGTTTCATTTGAAGAGGAAAGTGCTTGGGCAACTGGTAAGAGAGTAAAATGGTACAACTACTTGGAAGAACATCTGGCAATTTTACACGAAACTGAATTCACATGCACATGACTAGCCACCCCACTGTTGGGTACAGGCCCCCAACTCATGAAAACATGTATCTACACAGACCTGCCCACCGATTTCACTAGTAGCTTTATATATAACCCCCAACTGGAACCATCTATCCCCAAACAAGTATCCACCCATGAGGTATAAGCACATGATGGAGCACTACTCCATAACAGAAAAACAGACTCCTGATCCAACACAATGAATCTCAAAAACATCACGCACGGGGAGAAGCCAGGTGAAAGAGCAGATATGGATGATCATACTTACATGAAGTCCATGAAAGGCAAAACTAATCCATGGTGACAAAAATCAGCAAAGAAGGTACCAATAAGAGGAAGGAGATTACTGGAAGGCCATGAGGGAACTGCCTGTGGTGATGTTAGTAACTCTGGGCAGTGATTTGCATTACCAGACACAGGAACTTGTCAAAATTCACAGAATGGCACACTTAAGGTTTCACTGTAGGTAAATTTTTACTCTAAAAAGACTGCAAACAACTATTGAACTCTGGGTAATGACTGATAGCATGCTGAAAAGTTTAGGCTGAAGTGTATGGAAGTATACAGATTTGTAATGCATCCCATTAGAAAAAAGAGAAAATAGATAGGAAGATGGATGAATAAAGCAGATATGGTAAAATGTTGCCTGCAGAATACAGATAAGAGATATACATATGAGTGTTCACTGTGTAAGTCTTTTAATATTTTTGTGTGTGTCAGTTTCCATTAAAAATTCTTTGGGGAAAGTGGCAGTAGTTTTCTAACATTATGGATAAGTAGTTGAGTCAGTCAATTCTGGAAGATAGGGTATGTGAAGAGCAAATAACAAAAAAGGAGAGAGAGCATCCTTAAACCTGGGGCATTTTAGGGACTTCAAAGAGAAGGGAAGACATTAAGCTCAGCAAAAGGAGTCTGAGGCGTAATGGTCATTAAATAAGGGGTGGCTGAGCAAGAGGGAAGGACAGTGGTGGAGTTGAGGAAGGGGTGAGGCGATGGAAGCACGGGGGGCGGGGTGACTGACCTCCATTTCTGATCGCCGTGATCCCTTGGTAGAAGTCTTCAAAACTGATCACGCCGAGCCCACTGGGATCCAAGTATTTTGTTAAGTCCTTCACCTGCAATTGCCAAGTAAAAATATGTTACTCAAGCCTTTACAAAATTGGAAGGGGTATATCATGCACTTGACCTTTTCACCATATTTAGAGAAGCAGTCTACTTATAAGGTGCCATGAAAATAAGAGCCACTGGTTTCTCTGATGCAAAGGCCCCAACAACTCCAGACAGAAAACAGGCGGTATCCTAAGAAGGTGCCAACGACACCTGGGACAATGAGTCAGGAATAAGATCCTGCTTTCAAAAGTCAAGAGCCATGCTTCTTGAGTGAAAAGATAATCCAGTGTTAACATTTTAGCATTATTCTAGCCATTGTCTAGATTACTACACATAGCACAGACCCACCCATCCTTTCCAACAGCTGTGCAGAGTTCTTAGGAAAGACAACGTAGGCAAGTAGATCTAAAAATCATAAATAGTAAGTCAATAATTCACACATGGGTGTTATAGAAAATGAAACTCTTTGAAAAAAGACATTTGTATTTCCAAGTATAAAATGGATTTCATCAAAATTTTAAAGTTTTGCACCTCAAAAGACATCATTAGTAAAACTAAAAGATAAGACACAGACTGGGAGAACATATTTATAAATCATATATCTGATAAAGGACTTGTATCTAAAATGTATAAAGAAATCTCACGGTACAACAAAAAGACCAAAAAAAACACAATTTTTAAAAAATAGGTAAAAATTTTCAACAGTTGCCCTGGCCTCATCCCATGCACCAAAATATCATGGTTCGATTCCCAGTCAGGGCATATGCCTAGATTGTGGGTTCAATCCTTGGTTGGGGTGCATATGGGAGACAATCGATCAATGTTTCTCTCTCACAATGATGTTTCTCTTTCTCCCCCTCTCCCTTCCTCTCTCTCCCTCTCTCAAAAAAAAAATTTAAACAGTTATTTCATCAAAGATATACAAATGGCTTATAAGCACATGAAAAGATGCTCGATATCATGAGTCCTCAGGGAAATGCAAATGAAAACTACAAGCTATCACTCACTAGAACAGCTGTAATCAAAAGTATTAACAATAACAAGGATTGGTGAAGTTGTAGAAAAATTGGAACCTCATATGCTAGGAAGAATGTAAAATGGTCTGGCTAATTTGGAAGATCATTTAGCAGTTTCTTGAAAAGGTAAACATAAGCTTAGTATACAACATAGCAATTCTACTCATAGGTATCTACCCAAGAGAAAAAAAATTGGGGGAAAAAGATGTATATGCAAATATTCATAGCAAGCAGCATTATTCACAATAGCAAAATAGCAAAAGCAATTCAATGTCCATCAACTGAGGAATGGATAAACAAGATGTGATCTATCCAACAGACTATCATTCAGCCATAAGAAGGAATAAAATCCTGATACATACTACAACATGAATGAACCTCAAAAACATTTTGCTAAGTAAAAAAGCCAGATACAAAAGATCACAAATTATATTCTTTCATTTAAAGGAAATTTTCAGAAAAGATAAATATATAGAGATACAAAGCATATTAGTGGTTGCCTGGGAAATTGTGGGGTGGAAGTGGGGATGATTGCTAACAGCATGAGAACTCTTTGGCACGTGGAAATGTTGTAAAACTAGGCTGTGATGATGACTGCATAACTTTATAAATTTACTAAAATTCATTGATTTGCACATTTACAGTGGGTAAATTTTATGGCACCTAAATTATACTTAAACAAGCTCTTAAAAACAAATGAATAGTCCGGCCGCCTTGGCTCAATGGTTAAGCCTCGACCTATGATCCAGGAGAACATGATTCGATTCCTGGTCAGGGCATATGCCCAGGTTGTGGTCTCGATCCCCAGTGTGGGGAGGGCAGGAAGCAGCTGATCAGTGATTCTCTCTCATCATTGATGTTTCTATCTCTCCCTCTCCCTTGCTGAAATTAAAAATATATTTTAAAAAATTATATTTAAGAAAACGTCCCTAAAAAAATTAAATACATATTGAAAGACTACATGGGGTACCTAAGAAAATCAACTCCCAATCCCAAAAGACCTACTCTAACACTTAATCTGATAAATTTTTTGGACTTTGAAGGAAAAAAACACACCTTTGAATAGCTATGTGAAAATCAAATGATTTTATAAAAGAAAATTAGATTATCATTAAACTTCTCCACAGCAACACAGGAATATTCTAATTCCATTATTCCAAGTGTTGTTGAGGACTGGGATCCTCCACATCGCCATGAGGTATCTATCACACATGATGTTTTAAAAATGAAACAATAAAACCCTTCTAATTGTGTTCAATTAACAGTGAGCACCTGTAGCACACCTAGGTTGTGATATTTAAATTCAGTTTCCATTGAAAGGAATCAGGACCCTTGGAGAAATGCCAGGAGATGTGCAAGTTAAGCCTGGAATTTCTTGTCACACCTGAAAGCAAAGACTTTACTAGGTCACATCAAAGAACTCGGGAGCCAACCTAAACAGGATTTTATTTTTAAAATATATTTTATTGATTTTTTACAGAGAGGAAGGGAGAGGGATAGAGAGTTAGAAACATCAATGAGAGAGAAACATCGATCGGCTGCCTCCTGCACACTCCCCACTGGGTATGTGCCCGCAACCAAGGTACATGCCCTTGACCGGAATCGAACCTGGGATCCTTCAGTCCGCAGGCCGACACTCTATCCACTGAGCCAAACCGGTCAGGGCCTAAACAGGATTTTACAGTAAAAAATGAAACAATATGAGCATTGATGAGAATGAAAAATACAGCAGACTGAAATATATCACATTTTAGTCAATTAAAGCATAATTATGGTTAAAAAACAACAACTAGTCATTAGTGGAGGACACTAGTGAATCAATTTATCATTGTGAAAACTAAGAAAAGGAAAGAACCAAGCAGTTAGCCTGCCTTTCCTATACAAACTGTTAACTCAGGGTAAGCAACGGTAGTCATGAGGGGAAGTGTCTCTTCAAGAATCATTCCAGCCCTGGCCTGCGTGGCTAGGTTGGTTGGCATCCTCCCTTTCACGTGAGGTCATCCAGTCAGGCACATGCCTGGGTTGTGGGCTCGATCTCCGGTAGGGGGCGTGCAAGAGACAGTCTATCAATGTTGTGCTCTCACATCACAACGTTTCTCTCTTCCTTCCTCTCTCTTTAAAAATCAATAAATTATTCTTTAAAAATAAATAATCATTCCAGCCAATAATCCAAAAAGGAATGATGGGATTCAAATGTCACCATCCTGCAGTGCTTGATGAAGAAATGGACATAATCAATGACCCTCAGTGCTTCCCAAGGGCACAAAAAGACAGCCAATAAGACACCAAATGCCTCCTGATGGAAGTATGTGACGCCACCTGAATCCAACTACCAATTTACAGGAAATGCAATGATCAAAGCAATGTGTTTCAATAATATCACAGGGATGTAATCAGCAAAACCCAATCCATGAGGACCTTAAAAGAGACAGATAATGCCCTAACCGGTTTGGCTCAGTGGATAGAGCATCGGCCTGCGGACTCAAGGGTCCCACGTTCGATTCTGGTCAAGGGCATGTACCTTGGTTGCGGGCACATACCCAGTAGGGAGTGTGCAGGAGGCAGTTGATCAATGTTTCTGACTCTTTCTATCCCTCTCCCTTCCTCTCTGTAAGAAACCAATAAAATATATATTTTTAAAAAATACATGTAGCCCTAACCTGTTTGGCTCAGTGGATAGAGCGTCGGCCTGCGGACTGAAGGGTCCCAGGTTCGATTCCGGTCAAGGGCATTGTACCTCAGTTGTGGGCACATCCCCAGGAGAGGGTGTGCAGGAGGCAGCTGATCGATGTTTCTCTCTCATCATCAATGTTTCTAACTCTCTATCCCTCTCCCTTCCTCTTTGAAATCAATAAAGATATATTTAAAAAAATACATCTACATTAAAAAAAGAGAGACAGATAACTGGCCCGGCCAGTGTGCTCAGTGGTTGAATGTCGACCTATGAATCAGGAGTTCATGGTTCAATTCCAGTCAGGGCACGTGCCTGGGTTGGGGGCTCAATCCCCAGTAGGGGCCATGAATTGCTCTCGTCATTGATGTTTCTATCTCTCCCTCTCCCTTCCTTTCTGAAATCAATAAAAATATATTAAAAAAGAGACAGATAAGTGACCTGTTATTTTCAAGGAGAAAAAAAAAAAGATGGAGAAAGTAAACCTTTAGGAGAAGAAACTTAGGAGCCTGGCTGGTATAGAGCAGTGGTTGAGCGTCAACCTATGAACTAGGAGGTCACTGCACATGCCTGGATTTTGGGCTCAATCCCCAGTAAGGAGAGTGCGGGAGGCAATAGATTATTCTCTCTCATCACTGATGTTTCTATCTTTCTCTTATGCTCCCTTGCTCTCTAAAATCAATAAAAATATATTTTGAATACTGATCCTGGATAATGAATATTGACTGAGTATTTGATATTAAGGAACTGTTGTTAATTTATGCACAGTGTTTTTATATATTTCCTAAAATATTTAGGGATACTTTAAAAACCTGGGGGCTGTCCTGGCCAGTTTGGCTCAGTGGATAGAGCATCAGGTTCGATTCCGGTCACGGGCACATACCTTGGTTGCAGGCTTCATCCCTGGTGCTAGATGGGGTGTGTGCAGAAGGCAACCCATGTCTCTCTCACATTGGTGTTTCACTCTCTGTCTCTCTCCCTCCCTTCCACTCTCTCTAAAAAAAAAATAGAAATCCTCATGAGAGGATTAACAATCCTATATAATAAAAGCCTAATATGCTAACTGTCCAGTCGTCCATTCAACCAATCAAAGTGTAATATGCTAATGATATGCTAAGGCCGCTCAACTGCTCGCTATGATGACCACTGACCACTGACCACCAGGGGGCAATCAACCAGTCGCTGTGACATGCACTGACCACCAGGGGGCAGATGCTCCAATTGGTAGGTTAGCTTGCTGCTGAGGTCTGATCAGGACTGAGCAAGATAGGCCAGACAAGCCCTGGAGCCCTTTCATGGTCCCTTCCCGGCTGGCCAA